TATATATATATATATAACACATAAGGGACTCTAAATATATATCATCAATACTAATGGCGGGGAAGAGTTGTTGAGCAACATTACATTCTTCACTAAGAAAAAAGTCTGTTGTATAATAGTTGCTATTTTATCGAATATCATAAATCACTAGAAGCTTTATAGCATGAGTATTGGCACATTATCTAACACAGCATATGAAGATATTGAGAATGTCACATTGTAAGAATTCCTTTGGTTGATTTAGTGACAGAGGAAGCAGCCATACCTTGGGAAGATAATGACTAAATTACCATGGCTTATTGCCTGTTGACTTCCACCTTTATCTTCTTCATTCTTTTCAACATCACTATGCAAGCCTAGATCACATGAAAGGAACCGAAATTTACCATTCAAGTTTCATATGATAATAATAGGATTCTCAGATCATTTTGTGTCTACCTAAATTTTAGTCAAGTTACATAATCGACAAAGAATATGGTCTTGTTAGCTTTCATTATGCATAGTTTTGCATGCCTGTGATTCGTATGTATTACAATGGATCCAAACTTTTTTAGCAATGGAAGCTAGTAGTTATTCTGCAACTTACTAGTGTGTCCTTGAGTAAGCAGCTGGAAAGAATTTTGGCCAAATCGTGTTCTTTGCTCTTACTATCAACCAATATAATCCGTATAATGGGACATGTATCAGTGCCATGCCAAAGTACCTGCAGGGTGGATACGTATGAGCGTTAGAGTTAACCGACATGAAGTAAAGCGTTAGAGTTAAGGAACTACGCTTACCAGAGGCGCGCCCTAGGAAGGAGTAACAAGATCCAGAAAAGGGTAAGGCCACCTGAAAAGGCATCAAGTGGCAAGTAATGTCACAAATCTTTAAAAGAGAATTGTATTCATAGTCGGATGTGCATTTTTACGTGCAACCATGAACACCTAGAGTGGTAACAATTATATGCAAGTCTCCGGTTACTTATATTTCATACATGTGATGAGACAGATCTCTTAATAATGCCACCATTGAGAGAATGCATTAAGCATTATGCAGCATTAGTGGTCATCAGAAGCATAATTTATCAAAAAACTTAACATAATGATGTATATTCTTGATGCATGTGGCAACCCTTCCATTATGCAGCATTAGTGCACTAGAGATACTGCAAAGTCCCTTACTGTTGGAAAATAAAAGAAAATAATCAAAAAGTATGCCTTAAAAGCTTACAAAGAGACAACGATGCCAAATCCTCGGAATAGGACAATAATAATCAGAAACTAAAATAACCCTGAACAACAGCTGGCGCTCTCACTTTTCCAGACCTATCTGACAAACCTTCGTGGAATTTTAAGCAGGCCAACAGCCTTTGGAATCTGGGGCAGCTTGGAAGAGGGTGACGGTCCTTTCCTGCTCTAACTAGGAGTGGAGCCTCTGGCTCGACCAAAATAATACTACCAAAACCCTGTTCAGCTGGTGAGAGGGCATTACTTGCCCGAATCAACTGGAATTATTGGTCCACGAAGCAGGTAGGACTGGGCGAAACCAGTTGGGTAGAGAGACTATAGGCAGGCCAAAATGGTCCAGCAAAGACTTCATAACACAACACTTAATAGCGTTATCTATATTAGGTTATGTAATTCTTTGTGTTATTCACATTGTTCAGGAAGAAGAAGTGTCCGAGTAAATAATTTTATACAACTCTCACAAATTATGTGCCATGCTTTACTGGTGCATCAACAACAAGGGCAACGATCAAATGTGCTCTGTTTAAAAAGCAAGCTAGATAGGATGGTCCGGCAATGCCAAGCCAGGCAACTAATCAACTTGACAGATAAATTGAAATTATGTGCCATGCTTTACTGGTGCATCAACACAAGGCCAATGATCAAATATGCTTTGTTAAACAAGAAAGCTGGAGAGGATGGTACTGCAATGCCAAGCCAGGCATCTAATCAACTTCACAGAGAATTTGAAGAATATGTCAAATGTAAAGAAAAAGGGGAACCCATAACTCAAAACTCTTGAAACCCTGGTTGCCAAGGTGCAGGCTTATCTTGGAGTCGGAAAGTAAAATCAACAATTACCAGTAGATCATTGTCACATAAGGTGAAACATTTGCACAAAGAGCACACAGTATATAACCTACATTTCTATTCAATTATATGGACATGCACAAAAGATGGCGTTACTTCCTAGGACAACATTTGCTAAGCAATTCAGTCCTAAAGTTTAGTATTTGCAGCTTGAAAAATGTATTAGTTGCACAAGAACTAATCCCATGAAAATGACTAGAATGTAATGTTAAAGAAAGATGCAGCATAAATGGCGTGGTCTCCACCTTGCTATGGATGTGGTCAAGAGATATATGACATCCTCGTTTTTCAGTTTCTTTCAAGTAACACTTAGTAAATGAGGATACATCCACAAATATGTATGACACTGGGCCGATGATGATAACAAATCAAGAATATCACATCAAATCAAAATGAAAAGAGAAATTATTGCATAACTATTTACTTGCAAAAGTTATGATCAATGGCCAACCCTTCTGAGGGATATATTAGCTATCTCTATTACATATATTATCATTTTCCATGGAATCTTCAAGAGTCATTTTAGTTTTTCCAAAATTCCCCTTAGATGATGAACTAAAAAAGGGACAAAATATCTTATTTATCGTATGAGGGTGTGAAAATAATCAGCTAACATAATACAGCAATTCATAGAGAAAACATAGCAGCAGATTTTCAATACACTTGAATCAAATAATAAATAAAAGAATGAATGAGAAAATATAATCTGAATCACATATGATCTAGAAATAAAGTTCACAATTATTGAAAAAGTATGAAATCTATGGACAACTAGCTATACCAAATTCATAAGAGAATGTAGTATTCCAAGCAATAACTAGTAGATCTGATGAACCCCAAACTTCTGAAAGTCTGGAAGGATTTACTTCAATCTCTACCATTTCAAAAAGCAAATGTAAAAAGGTGATGACCACATTCCCCCTAAGAAGTTATTTGATAACTTTAAGAAGACATGTACTATATAATCTCTGAAGTCCAGAAGCAAATGTGAAATAAAAAATCTATTAATTCCTAATGTCTAAAGAGGGATATGATTAACTATGAATTCCCAGTTAGATTGAACAGGAATCAGATTATTGCTATTGAATGTTTTATTCATGCAAGTCCAGGATACTCACAGAATTTACCATAACATGTTCAGAGGACATAAGTGGTACTAGGAGAACCCAAAAGGTGATATCTGCCAAGATTACAGCACCTACAACTGGTCTGTTAATTGAATGCTAACTGTAAGTTTCATATCTATGACTGAAAATGGCACGATCTACAGCAATGACAAAATTATTTTGGAAATTTAACGAAACTTATCGACAGGCTTTCAGGAAGTCACCATTATCTAAGCGATGAAGATAGTAATGGGCTCAAGAAGCATATACTGGTTACAACAAATACTTTGGATGGAATCAGGCATGTAGAGACAAATGTAAAATGTCTTTTTTAATATTATATCATACTTGCATACACCAATCTGAGAAACGTAAGAGAAGGTAAGACGTAAGCTAATATGAAAGTTGTGAGAAAATATATAATTTCTTATAGTATTTTCATAATTTATCCTAAATTGCAACAGTTGACAGAAGCAAAGACCATAACCATGAAAACCTGGAAACATTTGATGATTAAACTATAAGCAACTTTGAATACTAGTCACAACACTCCTAGTAACATAGACTGCCCCATTCTACTTTTGATGCGATATAATGGAAATATATTTTTAGATGCTAACCTGATAGACAAGTTGCATAGCATATGCCTAAAATCCAGCTATTTTTCCATTAGTTTCTTGCTGTTCATGTTGTTGTTGGTTCTGATAGGTAGAGTCACAGAATTGTTTTGTTCAACACCTCCTTTTGGGAATCTGTTGTAGTCCTCATCTTGTTTAACACGTCTTTTTGAAAAAAGCCTGCAGCCATGAGCAGATATGATGGTTGCCATCTACAGTAGACAGACGAAAATAAGAAATGCTTAGAATTGAATCCAGCTACGCGGGACATAAGAATCAACAAATACAAGCTAAGCTAACATTTAGAACAAAAACTCTTCAGCTCAAAGAAGAAGATGATAGTGTCAAAATTAAATATAGTACATATTCTTAACCAGTATAAAAGAGAGAGTGGAAAAACATACAATGAAATAGACAATGACTAATGTAAAGGTCCACCTGCAAATCATTCATCCAAAAATAATCAACTGAAATAAACAAGCTAAAGACAGATTAATTGGACATAAAGAGTCATATAGATAACAAATTAACTCAATGTAAGATGACATTGGTAAGAAAAAGATGCAATAAACAGCAGATCCTACCTATCACACTACTCATGATTGTTATTATAAAAAGGAACCCCCTTTCTTCTTACACACAAAAGAAAAAAATAAAGAAAGAAAAAGGCATAAGATCAATGACCAATCATGTCAATAGAAAGAACACAAAATCCATGCATGTTACAAGTTTGTTGCAAGAAATATGATACCATAATCTTCTCCCGGACAGAAACAAGAATTCAATTATTAAAAAAAATTAATTACTCAAAAACTATGAAAGAAGTTTTGAAAAATAAGATGTTATCTATATGACCAAATTAGAAAATAAAGATTGTTATCTTGCTCATCAAATACTTGACCTAAATTAAATCTAATATAGTTATCTTGTTCATGTTTCAAAGCTTTATTTCATGTTGATTATCACTGTTTCTCATAACGCAACAATACATATCAGGGAAACTCTTACATATCTTCTATCATCTCAAAATAATAATAAGAAACCACAATTAACTTCAATTCTCAAAGTGACTTCCGATCATCTGTATTAGGAGAATCAAGTCTCATTCATCTGACAACAAAAAAGAACTACCAATTCTTATACAATTCGGAGAGCAACAAACACTTTACCTAAACTTAAGCTATTTGCTCGTGTTTTTAAGCTTTACTTCATGTTGATTCTTTGCCGTCTCTTGAAATGATATAAAACATATCTTATTTCTACTATCTCAAAAAATTTTATAATCCATAGATTGGCATCAATTTCTAAAGCGGGACGGCTTCTGATCCCATATGCTGTTAAAATCAAGTATCATTAATGTAATGATAAGAAGAACATGCAAATCGTATAATATTCAGAAAGAACAAATCAGTTCGGACACTAAAAGATATGAGCTTCACGTAGAAATGGCTTTGATTAGCAGAATCCTCACTGGGCGTTGAAATAGAACGAGGAGAGCCCGTCGAATCGAACCATCCGGAAAAGCAGCCACGCCATGGCCAAGAACACGAGTTCCGCGGTACGCCAGAAGCCACGCCGGGTGCACCCCACCCCAACACGGCGCCCAGAGGTCGACAGCAAGGAGCGGCTTCGCCCTCGCCCTCCCCACGACGGCCACCGCAGCGACCGCAGGAGCGGCGACGATCAGGGCGCATTAGCCCTAATGAATCGGCGTAGAGAGGAGCGTAGAAGAGGACGGAAGCGAAGCGAGGGACGCAGAGGAACCCGAAAGCATCTAAAAGGGCGAGGGAAGGGGTTTAAGGTCTTTTTGCATGTCCTACGCTCCAGTTATGGACATGTCCTATCGCAACATCCACCGTTAGATTCAATGTCGTTCACAACGGACGGTCCATAGACACCGATGGAAGTACTCGAGGGTCGGACGACTCGCCGTAACGACCTCGATGCTGGAGGATGTAGGATGGAATGACGGTATTACCCTCTCAACGTCTCTTCATGCAACCGTGCGAGACGCATCTTAATCTATTTTTTTAAACGATTTTGTAGAAAACCCGAAATTTGAATTTTCCCTCTTATTTTCCAAGTATCTAAAAAGAACTTACACTATCCTCACAAACAAAATAGCTTTAATTTAATCTTTCAGTTTCCCGCCGACCAAACTTACACTATCAGCTGCAGTATTTATCTATGAACTAAAAATATTATAAGTCAATATTAAGGGATTAAAAATCAAATAAACATTATTTATTAATTTTATTATATTTAATATTTTTTTATTAAATATTTTATTTTATAATTCTTAAGTGATTTTGAATGCAAATCAAGAATGTTTTGACATATGGCAAATATTATTTTTACACAACCTTAAATTTAGGTCTATAATTTAGAGATTCTTATAATACTTTATTTTAATTTGTTAAAAATAATTAAAAAATCCAGTTATAATATTTTTGAATGGACTTATAATATTCTCGACATTGAATCAAAACACTATAACTCTAACAAAAAATATTATAACTCAATTTCAATTAATTGAAGTTTTCAGTAAATAATAATATCAACTTTCCTATATATTTGAATGTATTATAAAATTATTAATATGAGAATTTGAATTATTTTGGATAAAATTAAAAAGATCTTGACATATTTCAAATAAAGTATAATAAAAATTTATTTATTCTATTTTCTCTTAAATTTAAGTCTTTTTTTAAATAAAATATTTATAATAACTTGTTATAATATAATGATAATAAAAAATAATGAAACAATATCTAGTTGCAGTATTTTTTTAATGTTATTATATTGTTTTTAGCTCAAATCAAAAATACTATAACTCAAATGAAGCACATTGTAAATCTAGTAAGAAAATATTATAAACCAAAAATTCTATAGCTTTATTGAAATGCATTATAATACTGGACCAATTTAGGTAAAATTAAATTTTGATAGAAAGCACTTTAAAAGGTATCTTGGTCGTTAAAAAAGAAATGAACTCTCTTTCATATGTGAAAAAACACAAAATATGGAGATTTTTCAAAAAATCATCTTTTTTTATATTGCTTGTTCATAAAACTATAATTTTTTTTTTAAGTATAATGCTATGTGATAATTTCTTTTTCTTTGATGTGGTTCAATTTTAGATTCTTATTATTAATGATCAATGATTGTGATTGTTTATAGTGCTCGAATCTCACTTAGAATTATATCTAGTATGTTAATAGAAATATATACATAATATGATTTATGATATCTATATTTCATAAATTTGAGTATATGTTATCGTAAATTAAGTTTGAAGTATATGTTTTCTAAAATTATCATTCTCAGTGTCCTAAGAAATATTGATTAGATATATATAAGCATTCATGTTTATATCAAGCATAATGAAGTCTATATATATAATCACTAGAAGTAGTGATTGAATTTTAATCGGTTTTAAGTGGATCTCAAAGTTTGAATGAGCTTGATCATAGCTAATTTAATGAACTTTAAATTTTAATATTATATATGTAGAGAATATTTAGTCATGGATGGAGTAATGAAAAATTAAATAAAAATATAAATTAAAAAGGAGTATTAGATTAAATATTGAGATACATAAGTAAGATTGAACGATAAGTCTAGACCAAAAATATTATATTCATCCAACCAAATTAGACTTAATTGATGTTATTGTAAAATAAGAAAAAAAATTAAATATGACTTAATGTGATTGAATACTATATCTCAATGTAACCTTAGGTACCTCTACCTTATTTTTAATCTTATTATTTTAATCAAAATGACAACTCACTACTCTTTCTTTCTTTCTTCAATTATTCTTTCTAACTTTTCTCCGAGGTTAAGAAACCACAACTCTAAAGAAGATTTAAGTAAGAAAAATATAATCCTTCTCTTACTATACATACATTTTAGTTTTATAGATTATAAACTGATCTTCTTAGTTACTTTTAAGTTACCCAGAATTCAAATTTATCTTTGATTTTCTTTTATAGTTTAAAGGCCTAAGAAGGGGTTCTATTTGAATTAAATTGATCTCCTTAAGAATGTGATCGGGTGTTCTCCTTTTGATATGTTTTAAAAGAATTTCTTAGGATTCTCTGATTTGTAATTAAGTGAATATTATCTCTATCTACTGAGATACGAGATTTATAATTTTAGATAGTCTCAATGTGGTTTAAACGTAACAGAATAGGTGTTGATAATTGAATTAGAAAGACAATTTAGCTTTCAAATTATTCTATTTTAAGCAAAAAATTAGTATGTATTTAGTTTTATATGTCTCAAAGTTTATGATAACTCAACATCATTTGGTTAGCTAGAATAGTGAAGACAATTTTTTTTTAATAATTTGGTTGTACTAATTAGTTCTAGTTATAGAGTGAATTGTTGAAAAAATAGTGGTGAAATTTTGATAAGTTTTTAGATTGAGTATAGCCTATTTTATAAGAGAATTTTATCAAACTTTTTTCGATGATTATTATAAATCAATAATTTAAAAAGTAGGATTTTTAATTATGGTATCCCATGACCCTATACTCCCAATTTGATAGGTGTATCGCTCTCTAGAATAATGGTTATATAGATTATCATATATATCATGTATTTTAGAAAGTATGTTTCAAATGATATGATCATCATGAGTTAAACATGAACTAAATATAAATGTATATATTTTGTAAGTAAAATATATACATAAATTATGATGATAATATATAGTATGTATGCATTTATTATGATTAGAAAGTGTATGCATATATTATAATATGCGATAAGAGTATATATATATATATATATATATTATGATGTGTAATATGCGAGTAGACGTATATAATATGATGTGCGTATAGAAGTTGACATATATATTATGGTAATATGCGATGTGAGAGTGCACATATATATTATGATATGGGGAGTAAAAGTTCATTAATTTGCTAAGCTTTTTACATGTGCATATAATCATTTTGAATTATTTCGACGTAAAATTTTACTTCTTTATTTTATAATACTATGGGGTTAATTATCTTATATTGATGATTTTAAAATATAATGTACATGACTTGATGCATGCTCACTTGAATAAAACTATAAAAACTTATACTTATTGAATAATTATTTACTATTGATTTGTAGGTAATGATACTAGCATCCACCTACATGATTTGGTATGAAAGTAAACAAGTGCAAGCCTATGCCAATATACATATAGATGATGATTTGTGAGTATTTTATGTATATAAATTTTAGAGATATTATATATGTGTGTTTTTTTTGTCAAAGATTATAGATTTATACATGTTTCTAAAACACTATACAGGGAAAATTATATCATTTTGTTTAGTAAGTTAGCATGTTTTAATTTTAAGTTTGTTTATTTTTTGTTGCACTCCTATTATAGGAACATTAAGATATTACATCCTATTTTAATCATATATATGTGAGTGTAATTAAGAGTAGGATGTTACATTGTACATGACATAAGATGAGTTGCTCTTTTATTAGTAAATTATCATAATTTCATATGTTTTATTAATTTTTTTTATGTTTATCTATATTTTTTCTTTTTCTCCACATTGTTGAAGTTGGTAAATTATTGAAATTTCAATATTAAAATTTAAAAAAAAAATCAAAAACATAATATATTTTTTCTTTTATCAATGATTATAATTATCACAATAACTGATTGATAAGAAAAATATTCATTTTCAACCATACCTCGATACCTGATTTCATACTCAGCAAAAAGAAGAAAAAAAATACCTTAATTGATGACATTGCAATGTTAATAAAATTTGAACAAAAAAAATGATACAAAATATTCTCAAAAATCGTCCCAACAGTAATCGATTATAATTATAAGCATATAAGATAAGCCGACGATTTCAAATCTTGCAGGCCAAAGATAAGTAGCACTCCACTAACGTCAGCTGTTGCATCATTCGGTGCCTATGAACTCGTCCACCGGTGCGGCCTGGTCTCCGAGTCGAAGACGGAGTCCGGTCGAGCCGCCTCTGTTTCGGATTCGGATTCGGTTCAAAACACGAAACCGAGACCAGCGTTATTAATCATTCATGTGCCGTGGATAAGGCTCCATCAATTCGGCGGTCACCTAATGATTCCAGCACGAATCTCCAGAAAAATGAACGCCCACGCCTTCCCTCGAATCGAGGCAACTGACTCCGAGATACCCACCAATCTCACGGGCGACGCTATCGATCCGACGGCCTGCGTTGCTTCAGTCCGGTCAAACGGCACGCGGACCACAGGTTGACCGGTTTGATTTTTGGACCTGGTCGGCCCAGACCCTGCTCCCTCCCGGCCTAAATAACCCCTCTCCGCAATGAGCGCAGTCGACCGTGGCGCTCGACTCGTACCTGCCTCTTGGTCTGCAGTTACACCGGTGGGGCCCCATTGATGATCCGTTAAATGCAGGTGCGCGAGCGGGTGAGTTCTTCAAATGGGAAAGGAAGATGTGGCCGTATGGCTATCGTGGGGCCCGCGCAGGGGACAGCGACAGACCGTTCGAGGTTGCGACCGTCGCAGCCAATCATTTCGACCTATAGCCGACCCAATTTACTGAAATAGCCTTCACCGGCACAGTCGTCATCTGGATCGTTGGGCCGTCCGATGCTGATCGTTCGCATCGTTGGCCAATAAATCAAAGATGGGATCAGAACCGTTGAGGGGGTATTTTGAGTACTCCAGCCAATCAACTTCGACCTGTATTTTCGAAATCAAAGGAGGGTATTATGGTCATTAGGCGCAAAATTAGGCCGGAATTAGGAGCTCTGCTGGCGCATTAACTCTTAATTTGCTAACAATAGGGAAAAGGGCAGCGCAAAATTACGAAGGAAAAATAATTATTACATTATTATTATTGCTATTACAATATTATTTGGGGGTGGGTTGGAGTTTAAAGCCGGAGCGGTCAAAGAAAGGGTACGTTATGAGTACTTGGGAGAGGCTTTTCTTTTGACCGTCATCGGGAGGAGTAAAAAGAATCATATACTACCCAAAAGCGAGACAGTGAAGGAGATTAAAACCCTCGATTCCTGTTCTCCGTCTTGCCATCGCAGTGGAGGAGGGAAGGAGGAAGGGGGCGAGTTGGGGTTTGGCCTTTTTTCACGTGTTTGATGTTGTTGGTTGCGGTCGATCGGGCCGGCGAATTTGGAGACGAAGGTTGGATCTTGTGAGCATTTTGTTTGTGCCATTCACAATTTTTTTTGTAGACTTGGTTTCATGAGTTTTCCAGTAAATGATCCGACTTCTTGTGCTCCTCCCCTGGATTTGGCGTCAGTTCACCGAGTTCTGAGGTGATGTTGCTGTGTGTGTCTTTTTGGTAACGTAGAGGGATTTTGCTCGAGATTTTGTCATATTGTGGTTTATAGGACTTTTCTTGGTTTTTGTCTTTTAATTAAGGGAGCGTGGATCTTTAGATTTGCTTGAAAGAAAAATATGTTTTTTAAAAAGATTATTTGGTAGCTTTTAGCTGCAATTTTGGACTCTTTGGCTAATGAAATGCGGGTCTTTTGGTGCATTAATCCATGCTGTTCTTCTTTATTCATGTGATCCTCTCAATCTTTTGTAGAAATGTTGTTCTTTTCTTGCTTTATTTGTAGTTCTCCGAAGAGAAAAAGGTAATGTAGTTTTCTGGCAAGTTGGAGATGGTTGATATTGGATTCTCTTAGCCACATTTTAGCTAACGGTAAGCACGGTCAAGGTTTACTGCGAGATTTACATTAGAGAAGATGATGTATTATTATTTGCCTGCGGACCATTGTTTCTTCTTATGGTTTGGGCTATAAATTGGTAGATGTTTCTGATGTAGCGCCACTGGTGTTCAGACATGAGTGTGCTAGAGCGTGAAAATCAAGGCCAGTAACCACGACGCTTTAGACTTGGTGTATATAATTGAGTACCTGTAGCGGACAATGTTCTTCAGAAATTGTTATGGGTGATCGTCAGAACAAGTCTTTGATTTAACTTGACAGTTGAGAAGTATTTTAGATCACTTGCTAAATTTATTTGACAGGTTACTTTGGCTTTGGATTTGAACAGAATGAGCATGTGTTGCTTGGGTGCCGATAATTTATAAGTTAACTCTCAGCTATTGAAGTTGGATGAAACTAGTATGTGATAGCAGAGGGTGCACAGAGATTTAGATTGAAATTGATGCCAATATTGTGGTTGAGATATTCAACAACAATAACATTAAGTTGTAATGTTCCATCTATTTGGGGCCAGTTATATGAATCTTTTACCACCATTTAACTTTGTAAAAGGTTGACATATTAAACTAGAGAATACAAACAACTTGGAGTACTGTGAATGTTGTAAGGGGTATTTTCAGTTATTTTGCATCTTTTCAGGAAGTTGAAGTTTCTCATGTTATTAGGAAGGTAATAGAGCAACAAATTGGTTAGGAAGCTATGAGAGGATTTACAACTCAGGCTTGTTTTAGAGAGGGGACTGGCCCTTTGATTTGTATTCCATTCCGTGATTTGATGTACAGGATCTTGGTTTTACTAGTATTATGAAGTAGTTAATATATTTGCTCTTTTCTGGAAAAGTAATTGTTTACAACTTTCATAATTTGGTCGGTTGAAAAAAAATTGCGTACCTTTTGGTTGTGCAGCTTGGGAAGTGACTGCTGATATTCTTTAATGAACCTCTTGATAATATATTATAGCAGTTGTGAGTGGTGTATATGCTTTAATGTTGCTCTCTCCTTGGTTAACAGCAAAATATTCATGCCTACTGAGAAGCCAGAGGAATAAAGGACTAAATTTACGAGACACATATTTGATTAACTGTATGATTGGTCATATGAAATTCACCTAGAAGTTTTACTTGTTCACAGTATTTTTTTTCCCCTGCCTGTAATTCATGTGTAGCTTCCTTCTGCAAAATGATTTTAGTTCAAATTTTTTGGTAGCTTTTATATGTGCAGTTGGTTTTTGTCTTAGATATAGTGCTATAGGTCTTGCCTGTCAAGCAAAATAATTGAGATCGTCTTTTCATTTTTGTTCTGCTTACTAATATCCTCTATATATTTGACAACAGGTATACGATAGCTATTTTCGGAGAAAGGTGCTAGGGTACATTGAAATTGGACTCTCCTTAATTTGTATCACACATAAATGGCTTCAGTGAGCTTGGTGCCCCCTTCAAGGTTGAAAATCACCAGTAGCACTAGTGTTGGCATGGACAGGTTGCCTGATGAGATGAGTGATATGAAAATAAGGGATGATAAGGTAGATGGTCAGCACTTGTCATGGTTCTGACTACTGACATGCATTCTCTATGACATTGATATCAAATTAAGTGCCACCTATATGACAAATGAGACATGTGATGTATGCAGGAAGTGGAAGCAACAGTGATTGATGGGAATGGGACAGAAACAGGTCATATAATTGTTACTACTGTCAATGGGATAAATGGACAACCAAAGCAGGTAAGCACAGTATGCAAACACAAAAGAGATTTTGAGGACATTTATTTTTATCTTTATTTTTTCTTTTGATACAAATAGATATTTTGTGTTTAAGGGGGTTATGATGCAGTAGCCTATGCATGCAACCCTGACTGCTCTGACCTTTGAGCACAAAAATTTAAAAATTTCAAAACCTTTTTGTTTGTTGTAGTTTTCTTTTGCTAAATTTTTTCGATGTTCTGGAAACTTGATCTTATAAGTCGCTGATTTTTAACTGCAGACAGTAAGCTACATGGCTGAGCGTGTTGTAGGACATGGATCATTTGGAATTGTTTTTCAGGTCAGTTTGGTGATTATTTCAGACTACAAAAGTTCTCATCATGCTTCACTATAGGGACTTTTAAATTCTGATTGCAAGACACTTTAGCTTGTAAGTAGTGCATGCATGGTTATCTGATTTAGCATGAGCACACTTCCATGATGTTATATATGTCATCGATGTATACTGACGTGATGGATTATGAAATTGTTTCGGTAACATCATGATCTTTTGTCCTTTTAATAGGCCAAATGTCTAGAGACAGGTGAAACCGTAGCTATAAAGAAGGTTCTTCAAGATAAGAGGTACAAAAACCGTGAGCTGCAAACCATGCGCCTTCTTGACCATCCAAATGTTGTCTGTCTGAAGCATTGCTTCTTTTCAACAACTGAGAAGGATGAATTGTATCTCAATTTGGTACTTGAATATGTACCGGAGACAGTTCATCGTGTTATCAAACACTACAACAAGATGAACCAACGTATGCCGCTAATATATGTGAAGCTGTACATGTACCAGGTAAGTTTGAACTCATAATGGTGTCATTTTCTGCCTTTGATTAAGAGTGACTTCATTTTTTATTTCCAGTATAATAATGGTACACAACATGATGGCCTTTTAGCTTGTTTGGTAATTTATAAATCTAGTAGTGCTTAATATTGTTACTCACTTATAAGCTGGCAAGACTAGGGCCAATATTCTATTTATTGATACTAGAAAATAGTGAAAATGAGCGATAACTCAGAAAGAAATTTGACTATGGTTGAAAAACTTATCAGTTCAAAATTTTGCTGGTTACCCTTTTTGTTTAATGTAATTTTAGGTCTGTTGATACAATTTGATTTTCTTCTTTTAACAGATATGTAGAGCGTTGGCATACATACATGGTAGTATTGGAGTGTGCCACAGAGATATTAAGCCCCAAAATCTTCTGGTATTTGCTAACACAATTCTAGCTTTTAATTTATTTATTTTGAATCTAATTTGCTTTGCGACCACCAGGATAACCTCAAAACAACAAACTTGACAGTTTGATAGTGTTGATTGCTAAAATCTTGCCATTATGTTATCTCTGTAGCATTGAAATATGTTGTTAGTTTCTGATATATTTTTGGAACCACTTATTTACAAGGAAGTGGTGCTTTTTACTGATGTGCTGCTTCGCATTCTGTAACAGGTTAACCCACATACTCATCAATTGAAATTATGTGACTTTGGGAGTGCAAAAGTGTTGGTAATTTAGTTCATCTCCAGAATCATGGTTGTCATTTTTAATGTTTTAGAAACCTTAATTTTCAAGCTTTTTTATGCTTTGATAGGTGAAAGGGGAACCAAATATATCATACATCTGTTCCAGATACTATAGAGCTCCTGAGCTTATTTTTGGGGCAACTGAATATACTTCAGCAATTGACATCTGGTCTGCTGGTTGCGTTCTTGCTGAACTTCTGCTAGGACAGGTGATAACCTCAGTTTATACAAATACACTATAGTAGCATAATGTTCTGGATTGGATTCTATTTCTTAAGCATTATTTGGCAAACTAACTTGATTCGTCATTCAAACAGCCTCTCTTTCCTGGTGAAAGTGGAGTTGACCAGCTGGTTGAAATAATTAAGGTATGTTCTATTTTGTGTTCTTGACTTGATATCAACTGCTAATCCTTTCGTTTGCTCTTCATTCATGTAATCTTGCAATTGCAGGTTTTAGGTACCCCCACAAGAGAAGAAATTAAATGCATGAACCCAAATTACACCGAGTTTAAGTTCCCCCAAATTAAAGCTCACCCTTGGCACAAGGTATGTAACTATATTTTCTGCGAAGTTTTTAACTTCGGATGATTTCCCATGTATATCTACATAGTTGATTTTATTTTTGTCTGATGGTGAATTCTAATCAGATCATTTACTTTAATCAGATCTTCCATAAGCGAATGCCTCCTGAAGCTGTTGATCTCGTATCTAGGCTTTTACAGTACTCTCCAAATCTGCGATGCACTGCTGTGAGTAGACTTCCTTTTCTAAGAATTTTATCATCGTGGCATGTTCAACATATTTAGTTTTCTTCTCTTTCATGGGTACAGTTAGAAGCACTAATTCATCCATTTTTCGATGAGCTTCGAGATTCGGATACTCGGCTGCCAAATGGCCGTTTTCTGCCTCCTCTTTTTAATTTCAAGCCTCATGGTGAGAGTCTTGGTAGAGATAATAATGATCCATCAAGTAATTTTCTTGTTATCATATTTTACAATCTGATATATTTATTTGCTTTATTTCTTAATCAGAGTTGAAGGGAGTGCCGATGGAGATAGTAGCGAAGTTGATACCAGAGCATGCTAGAAAGCAGTGTGCTTTCTTAGGATTATAAGTTGTTGATAGGATGATTACCTGAGGAAAGTTGCATGCATCTAACCTAGTAAAGAGAGGTATTTCCAAGTGAGATTAGTGAGTTGACGGAGCAGGTGATCTAAAGAAAACTGTGCTGTTTTCATGTGTATTATGGTCACTCCCTTGTCCTCGGTCTAAAAGATGGTTTTCCGTTCTCCAAAAACCTCGATGGTTGTTATCTACTAACCTTTTGGTTTTTTCTGAAAAATTGTAACATTATATTAGTGCATATATATTGTTGTTGTTTAGTTCTTGAAATATGGACCAAAATGTTCTCTGGTTCTGGTGTGTGGCTTTTGAAGGTCAGGGAAATAGTTGCTTGTAGGTCTTCCCCAATCCATGCATCATCTGAACTTTCTGATCTATTCTTCTTGGTTTAGTGATCCTTTGGAACTACCTGAGTGGAATTGAATACCTTAGAGATTGCTTTCTAGGTCTTGCATTTGATTTACTGTGAAAAGATCTTCTAAAGGAAAATTGATGGTTTGATTAGAGTTCTACTGGTTGATTTTTAGAGTAACCAAACACTGAAGTAACTTGACTTTGGAGAAGTCCAAGTTGATGTTGATCTTTTTTCCCTTGGATCATAAGAAGGTAAACAATATATCCGAACACTAAGAAAGATCATTAGCCAAACAGTCTCAGATCCCAGAATGAAAATGTTGATGATTAGATTCCTATAGTTATCAGTGAGTTGAGTCTTAGAAACATTAATATTAAGTTTGCTATGGATTGTGAGCCCTACTGGGATATCCATAGTTCTTCCAACAAGTTCCTTATTCACATTAACATCTTATTTTATGAGCCAAAGCAGATATAGATAATACTTAGGCTGCAAGCATAATCTTTTGTTTGCTGTGAACAATATTTCTTGGGAATTACTTTTGGATATGATATTTTTGTCCAATGGAGTAAGAATAATTGTATGATATTATTTGATGGAACCAAAACTGTATTTTGCTGATCAGCATTTGTTGATATATACTTTGTTACAGACAGGGACATGAGTCTGATTACTAGCTCTCTGTCAATCTAGAGACAAACAAACAAGATAATTGAATGGATTCAGATTCAGATTCAAACTGTGTACCCAATTGAAATCAGGTTGTCCAAATATTGTCATTCTGTCACCAGTTGAAGCTTTCTTTCGACTCCAGAAGTCACCTGGGCCTTCTCAGTGATGTGATTCCCTTCTTCATGGTTTACATGCAATGCTTCCCTTTTCACTGTCTTAGATATTAATATCTTGTGATCTGAGTTAGGCACAGGGCAAACATAATCATCTTCCATTGCTCAAGTTTCAGGACCATCTTCCTCTTCAATAATGGTCAGGAAGCTGAAGAAGAAGAAATGATCCAGACTGATGACCAACTTGTGAAAGCAAGAAGAATGGATGAGAGATGTTTAGATTGCAAGCATGCATGCATGGCCACTTGCTGTTGAGCTCATGTTGCTATTGGACAGGCCAAAGACTTATTTCTACTGAGAAAGCTCCTCAATGGACTGCAGCTCTACTTGTTGCATGCGCAGAACTCCACTGACCGCCGTCCTACCACATCCTGTTTCAATACCTACCATCCTCAATCTCACATGAGCTACCAACTGCAGCCAGTGACATCTTCTACCTCAAACAACCACATCTCAGATATGGAAGGACATGGTGAGGAGGAGATGTTTCGAGCTCTTTATGCAACAGAACCTAATTCAATGTGATCTTGATCTCATTGCTGAAGCTTGTGCAGGAGGTTCAGTTGATGTTACAGAATCTGCTCCTTCCCTCCGGTGGCCAAGCTTGGGTCCCAAGAAAGTGAAAGGGATATCTAGAGCATGGGGCTGTTCTACCACTGCTCTCTCTCTCTCTCTCTCTCTCTCTCTCTCTCTCAACTATTATATGCGGACTAGACTCCACATTCTCATAAAGCCAAGCCCAAATGGAGCTGGTCGGTTGCCGCCATTAGAATAATCCGTGGTGCAGCAGAAGAAGAGCCACAAAGGAAGACCCTGCCACTACCTCCCCTGCAGTCTATAAAGTTGCTCAGCCCAACATTTGCACTCTGCATCTCTCCCTTCCAACTCTCTTCCCGGTCTTGCACTTACGCTGCATCAACTGGCAAATGCCGCAAATGGAGCTCGTTAAGATGGTCATTCTGCTTGTCTTCATCTCCTCTACCTTCTACTCTACTCCTGTGCACGCGAGGAGTCATCATCACCACCATAAGAAGCATCCAAGGCGGGACGGTTCTGAGCCGCCTCCGTCCCCGTCCATTAGTCTGCCTCCCGCTCCCGCTCCCGCTCCCTCCCCTGAGCCTACCACTGCAGGTACGATGAGCTCTACAACCTCATCTACCCTGTTGCATTCGTCGATGCAGGGGCTAATGCGAACTCATCGAATTCTGCAGTTCTCAATGTGCTATCATTTGGAGCAGTCGGAGACGGAGTGACCGACGACACCGAGGCGTTCAAGAGCGCGTGGGACTCCGCGTGCGAGGAAGGGCCGGGCGTCGTCCTCGTCCCGCAAGGCTACGCCTTCAAGATCAGCTCGACCATCTTTGCAGGGCCTTGCCACGGTGAACTCACACTTCAGGTACGCTGCATTGCAGCAGAGTGACTTGCAGCTGCTGCCTTTGTTCTGAGGCTTGTCGATTGACTGCGTGGAGGAGTTGTGTGTGAAGGTCGATGGAACGATCATGCCACCCGATGGCCCCGACGCATGGCCTCAGGGCACCAGCAGGCGGCAATGGCTCGTGTTCTACAGAGCCAATGACTTGACGCTGCAAGGCGGTGGACTCTTCGATGGGAAAGGAGCCAAGTGGTGGGATCTCCCCTGCAAACCCCACAAGGTAGGAGGAGATTGACTACCAAGTAGATGGTAGTGTTAGCAGATGATTAACCATTTCAGCTTGTGATGATGACAGGGAAGGAACCACACGACATTGACCGGACCCTGCGATAGCCCTGTCGTAAGCTCTCGGATCAACAATTCAATCAAATTAATGTCCTCGGATTCATTCGAGAATGTGGACCTTGTTGTTCTTTTGTTTGCAGGCTTTTAGATTCTTCATGAGCTCAAATCTAGCAGTGCACAGAATCAGAATCCATAACAGCCCTCAGTTCCATTTCCGATTCGACAACTGCAGGAACGTCACCGTGGACGCCATCTCAATCAACTCGCCCGCTCTCAGCCCCAACACCGACGGCATTCACGTGGAGAACAGCGTCGACGTGGGAATCTACAACTCGGTCATCTCCAGCGGTAAGTGACGACTTCTTCTTCTTCTTCGTCGTCGTCTCCTCAGCTCTTCCGTAGCCGAACTCATCTCCTCGACAGGTGACGACTGCGTCTCCATTGGAGCCGGCAGCACCAACATACACATACGTAATCTCACATGCGGACCGAGCCATGGCATCAGGTACGCTGCAAGATACAACTTCTCAGCTTCGTTCTTCCTCTGCTCACCGGAGCTCGGTTTCTCCGTTCAGCATTGGTAGCCTGGGGAAGCAGAACACGCGGGCTTGCGTGACCAATGTAACAGTGAAGGACTCGGTGATCAAGCACTCGGACAATGGCGTCAGGATCAAGACGTGGCAGGGTGGGTCGGGGTCGGTGTCATGGGTCAGCTTTGAGAACATACGCATGGACACCGTGAGGAACCCCATCATCATCAACCAGTACTACTGCCTCACCAAGGTGTGCAAGAACCAGACGTCGGCGGTGTACGTATCGGACGTCTCCTACGCCGGCATCAAGGGCAGCTACGACACCAGGAGCCCCCCTATCCATTTCGGCTGCAGCGACGCCGTTCCCTGCACCAACATCACGCTGACGGACGTGGAGCTGCTCCCCGCGCAGGGCGACGCCATTGCAGACCCCTTCTGCTGGAACGTCTACGGCGAGTCGCAGACGCTAACGATCCCTCCCGTCTCCTGCTTGTTGCAGGGGCTTCCTCGCTCCATAATGGACATCGATTCAGATAGGTGCTACTGAGGATGTTACAGTAGAAATCACCGTGAATGTACACTGCAACAGAAGCGCTATATAGAGATATATGGCCTTATACTCGATGTAATAGTGATCCTAAAACGAAGCTTGTTTTGTACTCATCATTAGCTTGCTGGGAAAAGCCTTCTCCATCTTCCTTAAGTTTCAGCAAAATCCAAAGAGCTTCCTGCATGCACGAACAAGAATCATGCAAACAAAGCCTCAGATCTGCTCTTAGTAAAGCAAGAAAGCTTAGTTCTTAGAACGTACGTCTAACATGACACTGCTTAGTTGTTGACGCCAACCAAAGCTTATGCATGAATATCAAATAAACCTAAACAAAGTGTGGTCTGCATATATGACAAGAACCACATTCAATGCATTATAGTGCTACGTAAGTTAGCCTGAGGACGGTATAAAGAATAGTGTCGAGTTCAGCTGCGTCGGAATGATGCTTGAGATAGCACTATCACTCGCATAGCATTGCCGAACGCTGCTACTCAATGCAGGTTTGGGTTTCGGATTCAAGTGCTTGTTGGACTTCACGGCTCATGAATGAGAGAGACTGCACAGACTTATTGATGGTGGCAACCAATCGATGAAGATGCCATGACAAGAGCAAGTAATGGAGTAATTTATGGAGCACGGTAGTGCTGCGCGATAACTTCATGATGGTTTGCCGAAAGTTGAAGGCTCAGATTTCCTCTGCAAGAAGTGATTACAAACCTAAACAAGTGAGCATGCATGGAAGTTGCCCACCTTGTTCTTTAGTGCAGAAAAGGCGAAGTTAGTGTGCTTGTGGGCGCGTGAGCTTTTGTGCCTGGAGAAGTCCATGAAGATCGCAATCGTGGATGAGTATTAATGAGAGGGATGAACCATTAAGTGCCTTTAGCTTCTTCACTCACGAGGCAGGTTAGACTTGAGGCAAAGCGAATGCGTGGTTCGACGGCGAACCGAAAGCGATTTGAGATACAGTGAAAGTGTAGTTCCTCTCTCTCTCTCTCTCTCTCTCTCTCTCTCTCTCTCTCTCTCTGTGTAGCTCATGCAGGAGCAAGCGTAATGATCATGGCAATGGGCATGATAGATTTGTGTGGGCCGGTGCACGAGCTACACTCGGAAAGCCAACACCACTAAGCCTCCCTTTACCCTCACGCTTGCCTCTCTCTCTCTCTCTCTCTCTCTTGCTCCTTTTGCTGTTTGTGCTTCTCTTTGAAGAACTGTGGGAGGATAGAGTGAGGAAATTATAAGGTCATGGGTGTGCTGCCTTTTGGTGGGCGTCGTCACCCATGCACGATTCCCCTCATTGGGGACTATACAAAATATTCCTGACCTACATTTGGACAAGAAGATGCTGTAGAAGTTGATGATCTCGAGAGTTCTCGACATGGCATCCCATATGCCCATTTCCTTTGCCTTAATTTCCCTCGGGAGAAAGTATATTCCAACATTATACTGCTTCCATTTCCTTTATTGATTGCAATATACCAAGAACATTAACTAACACAACCGAGAACTCTGTCAGGGAAAGGTTAAACCTCTTTCAGAGACAATCTCCTGAAAAGAGTGCTGCCTTTTACTTCCTTCAGCTGTCAGTGGAAGCCTCCGATACAAGAATTTACTACACAGCAAAATCCTTCATTTACAGATGCAGGTTACAAGACACACACACAGCAACAGCAAAGAAGGTGGTCCTCTCTATGCTCGTCAATCATTGGAGAGAAGCAGACAATTATAAGCATGCAGAATCAATGCCTTGGTCTCCTGGCTAAGATAAAAGATCTACTACAATACTCCCAAAGCAGGAAAGCAACTCGTACTAGTTTATCCAAAGCAAATTTCATCACATAAAAGGCTCAACTTTACTACTGAAATCAAGGCATCGTGATAGAATTTAGATCGAGTTTAGAGGATTGGTTTGAATTGTTAAGGGAGATGATGGTGTGAGTAAGTACACATTAAGGGAATTGTGTAAGCATGAGAGGGAGATGGGTGGAGTGTTCTTTATGGCAGATTCTTTCTGCTGCTAAAGATGAGAGGAATGCTGCGTGTGTAAAGCTGCACAAAGAGTGTCCCGGCAAATAAAGGGAGCAATACGACCATACAAAAGCTCATAAAGGCGAGGAAGCTTTCTTTTAGAGCGCGCGCACACACTGTGCCACCTACCGCTGGCGTCTGGATTTTAGCTGTTATACTGTGTTCTCCGTGGAAGAAGGAGAAGAGGACGAAGAAGAAGTAGGAGAAATGCTGATTGGTGACATTATTCTAACTCGTTTCTCTCTGTCTGATATCGACCACTTGGAAGTTCTTTGTTGTAGCTAAGGATGTATGATTGATGTACTCGGCACTTGGGAGTGACTCAGCTTACAACATACTAAGAATGAGAATTATATAGAGGAGAGTGGATTTCCTCAAGATTGAAACTATATTAAGTATAACTAGAAAAATGATGAGCTTTGTGCACACAAGGATTAATATATACAATCTTACCTTTATATTTAGAGAGATTATCTCTGAGTCTTTTGAATTCTATTCTTCCATGTTGCAAAGGACCAATGTTAAATATAAAGAATTAGAGGCCAAGGATATCATCTAATTCAAAATGTTAATGTTATGTTCATGAATTAGTTGTTTTGTATCTTCTTATACAACAATAATAAATCATAATGTTCCGACTCTTTAGTGCTAGCTACGTAAATTATTTTTCATTATTAAGTCATATATATAATTTGATATAATTTTATGTTGATTATCAGTGACCTGACATAACCCTCAATCTATTTTGTGATTGATTATGTTAAATTTTTTTAGCTTGGTAACATTCATAACTTTTTGAGAGACTACTCAGCCACAAGTGAATATCCAACTAAACATTAAAGTTAACGATATCATTTACAAGACAAAAATATTATTGGGAGGGCCTATGAGTTGAAGACATCAATCCTACATCATAAGACATGAGAGAGGGATTAAAAGAAGCAAATAGTTTGAGACATGTTTAGGAACATCAAAGTGTATGATAGGACCAACAAGGCTAGCAATTGATGACAGGGTATATGGTAGGGCCAACAAATTGGTTTACATGTTGTCTCCTGTTTCATTCATTCATTTTTTTGGAGTATGGAAACATATTAAGACTTAATATTGAGGGATATTGCATGAGGGCATGGTAATTTGGTAGACACCATCAATTCTAGCATAAGAAGCTAGAGCATGGACACATCCTAGTTGCATTCTCTAAACAAGAAAAAATCATTTGGATAGACTCACTTTGTCAAAAAAAAAAAGAGGAAATATTTTGCAATATTTAGAGAAAAAAATGCAATATGTAAGACTGAGGATGATGAGAATTAGTATGGAGGAGATAAGAGGTTTATACCAGTCTGCACATTGGGTAAGTCATACAACACAAAAGCACATTTAAGACTCAAGAGCAAGATCTACTCACAAACAATACACAAAGAGGCAACCCTTGAAGCAATGTTCAATTCCATCCACCATCTTTCTGCACAGAGGAACACAGCAATTACACACAAAATACCCCCTTTTAGAGGAATTATATTGTCTGTTTATCGTCCGCGACGTGAGGATGCCATAAGTCGATTGTACTTCAAGACATGTCGACAGGTCCAAATAAGAGAGACACTATTTATGGGGACCTGACTCGATGAGAAAGATGAGAGTAGTACTAGTGAAACGAGGCAAGCACTTTCAAAAGGGAAGCAGCAAACTCCATCTGGGTTTCCTCATCAATTGTCGAGAACAGGGGAACATGCACAAAGAGAGACTTGATTCTGTTGCGCTCAGCAAACCGCAGAGAATGGTAGTACACAAAGTTGCAAACGAATCGACCAGCATCATCAGAAGGCATTACATCATATCCCATCTTCGACAAGTTCTTAACAATTTCGTTGACAGGAAGAGAAGTCTGCAACAGCAGTCCAATGGGAAACATTAAACTGATATTTGTTTCCAAATGAAGCCTAGACTTCCTTCAATATTTGATCAGAGAAGACAAACAGTAATGGCATGTAAAGTGCTCAGAAAATAGTTATGCTATCTGTACAACCGTAAACTCTATGGATGTTTTTGTGAAAGACACAGTTGTTCATTTAGGTATTCCCAAAAGAATAGAAAAAAAAGAAAAATGAAAGAACAGTCTTATGCAAGACAGTAAATGCTTGCAAGAACACGCTAAGCCAGCACTTAAGATTTAAAGTCAAGATCAACATCAGATATATGCTTGGCTTCTGGTAGATGTGCAAGCCATGGATCCAAGAACATCCAAGTTAGCAAACATCTAATAATCAGCTAATGCTCTCATAGCCAGATATGTGACTCACATATCTAGGATTATATGGTCAAGGCCAAATAACCCAAATATGGAAAATAAATGTCCTGATGCTCCAGTAACTACAGTGAAGTGTGTTTCCACTAGGTGATTGCATACAGGACACCTAGAGGTGATCTAGGTGTGTCAACACATTTAACCTTCATATTTAATCAAAATTCAAGCCTAAAAAGATTTGTAAAATGCTTAAGCTTAAAAGTTCTAACTTCCATGGATTCATGATCTATATATTTGTTAAATCATGTTCAGTGAATTGAATGACACAATTACTTGTGACTTTAGGGAGGCAGGCCCTGAGCCACGCCAGGAGAAGACAAAACAGAGTATCAATCAGTTGATTGGTGTGTAAGATTAAAAGGTAACCTACAGTTATCTAACCATAAGTTGGGATGAAATTCCAAATTAGGACTTGCTGCTGATTACAGTACATCATATTGGATCAACTAGAGTTTGCTAGATCACAACAGAACTACAACAGAGAATCACAAGAACATTTTCGTCAAAGTCCACAAGTAAAATATGCATGGGAAAGTTAATATAAGCCTAAGAGATCACTAAGGGATCCTTGTTAGTACATTGATTAGGACAGACATGACAAAAAATTGAATAACTTAGATCTATCTGTCGAGTATAAAGGTGCAAGTACAGAAGAATAGAATCAGATTCTTTCTTTAGTCAAATGACACAAGAATCAGATTCTTATGTGCATAGAATTGTCTGATGCAGAAGATGCATACAAGGACGATAAACACAAGGACATAGTGCAGCAATGTA